GCCCTCTATAAATATGCCCGTTACGCCACTGGATGGAGCGAACTTTTTCCTTCAACAGCCCAAAACTTCGCTCAAATATAGATTTTAGGAAAATTTTGGACAATTAAATCGCCCGTTTTCAACAATTGATTCCTCGAAAGCCCCTTTGGGGAGAAACCTGCTTGTTCCGCCACTGAATAGAGCGCGCCTTGGTTTTCACGAGCTTTCATTTGCATCGAAAGGGCGATTTTCGGAAACTTTTGAGAATTTTCCAGTGGTTTCGGTGGAGATTTTTGACGATTTTTTACAATTTTTTCGAGACGAGAGTGCGATCGATCAGACTCAAATCCCAATTTTCAGCCATTAATTTACCGAAATCGCGTCCAGATGAGGAGCTGCTCGATACGCCACTGATTAGAGCTGATTTTGCGGTTTAAAAGCTCGTAATGCAACTGAAGTGGCCAATTTAGGGCAATTTTGGCGATTGCTCAAACAGTTTGCTCGCATTTGCAAACGCACCCCTAACGGTCCATTTTCAGCAATTAATTTCTCAAAAACTTGCTCAGAACGAAACGCGTTTGTTACGCCACTGGAAAACACGTAAAATTTCTTACGAGCTCTTAACGTTTCACTCCGGTGGCGTTTTTTGTTGATTTTTGGCAAATTTCCAAACTCTGTTTCCTAATGAGGACGTGGAGAGTGCCTTAACAGGTGAAAGTGATGTAACAAAAATTACTGCTGACAAACCAATTAAGATAAAGATTTGCATGTTGTGCCACTGGAAAGAGAACAATTTTGCCTATTTGCCACCAGAATTTCATTGCAGTGGCGCACTTGGCTGAATTTTCGCGAATTTTCAACTTCTCGCTTCCCTAGTGAGACGGCCCACTGTTTAAAAAATTAATTTCTGCTAAATTGCTCCTGATGGAAAACTGCCCGGTGCGCCACTGGAAAGGCGGTTGTTTCCTCGACCAACGCTGCGAATTTCATTGCAGTGGCGTACTTGGTTGATTTTTGGTGAATTTTTTAAAACTCTGGTACCTAACTAAAACGTGCCATCGCAAAAAAAATAATTCCTGCCAAACCTATTCAGACAAAAAGGTGCCTGTTGCACCACTGGAAAGCGGACAATTTCCTCTATCAATCCCCAGAATTTCATTGCAGTGGCGCACTCGGTTGATTTTTAGCGAATTTTCAACTACTCGGTTCCCCAGTGAGACGCCCCACTGCTTTAAAAATTAATTGCTGCCAAACTCCTCCAGATGGAAAATTGCCCGGTGCGTCACTGGAAAGAGCGCTGTCGCTTCTATCAGTACTCAGAATGTCATTGCAGTGGCGTACTTGGCTGACTTTTGGGGAATTTTTGAAAACTCTGGTCCTCAGGGAGAACTTCCCAGTGCTCTCAGGACTATTTAAAAAAATCAGTCCTGCCAAACGCAATCGCATAAAAAAGGGCGCGGCACGCCCCTGGAAAGAGCAAGGTCGTGTCAATCAGCGCTGAACATATCAGTGCAGTGGCGTTCTCGCTTACTTTTTTGCGAATTTTTAAAAAGTTTGTTCCCTGTTGA